TATTACTATAATTTATAATAAATTGTAAACTGTAAATTGTAATATTAATACATTACCTATATTTAATTGTTAGTAGCTAATAAAAAAAATGCTAAAAACGACCAAATAACGTTCAGAAAACACATGTTTTTATTTAATAATTTTGTAATGTGCTCATAAGTTTTAACATGACGTATTAACGTGTCTATACATTTAATATTTCAACGTCAATAATGAAAATATTCATACCAAAACAGTAGCTACATTATTACTATGTGTAAATGTATAATGTCTAAATGAGAAATATTTTATAAAAAAAAATATATATATATATGACATTTTATTATTTATATCGGCGGGTTTCGAGTTAAATATAATATATGGTAGGTACCTACATGATAATATTGTTAAATTATTATGGTTTAATACGCACGCACTAGCGCTCAAGTGAAGTAATAACTTTGCTGAACCGGAAACGTCGAAAAAGACAAACATTACATGTATACTGTATACCAACACTCAGCAGTATATTATTGTTTATACGACATATACGTGCGTGAACCAATTTCTCATCTACGTTTAATGCGTATATGTACAAACTTCCGAGTGTCCTGCTGGCCAAGAGTTAACTTAACATTAACTAATTATTTAATACTTTTATAGTAATGTTATTATAAAATGAAAATTTCCTTGAAAATTATAATTTTTAGTTTTTAGGTAATTTACTTTTACGTAGGATATATATATAATATATAAATTATGTGCTATGTAGGTATTATTTATTATTAAAATATTGGGTATAATAATATTAATTTTGAAATACGTCTTAGCTTATATTCGATCATTAATTATAAAAATTTATATTATTTGGTCAAATATTTATCTGCAAAAACCTAGTATTCTCATTTTTTATATACCTATATATTATAGCTAATATCTATAAATGTTAAATTGTTTTATATACCTATAGCCATATTTAGATAAAGATTAACCAATCCGAGTGCTGTTGCCTGTTAACGTATAGACACCTATACATAACAGATAATCATAACTGAATTAATATTTTTTATCTATATTAACTTCGATTACTTATTATATTATAATATGAATAAATGATACGTAGGTTTATGGATAAAATGTCGTGTCTATAAAGTAATAAAAGCGTTTACGTAGGATAAAATGTAACCTATTAAGAGGAAATGGTGTAGGTATATACAATATATACATATTATATGTATAAATACACAATATATAAGGATTAAGTTTATTTATATTAAATAAGGAATAAACCTATGTAAGAGTAAGATCAACGTCGGTATTTCGACGTTTATGCCTTGACCGAAAAAATCACATTTGAAAAATAACCGTCTGCAGTCCGATTGTTATAAGCCGTCCAACGAAATCTTTGTATATACGACACACACACGCATATGATATATAATATTATATATATATTTATACACGTGTTAGTGCGACTACCTACGTGCCCCGAGTAGTCCCACCGCACCCCTATAACACACACACACACACACTGTAAAACACCCGTACCGGTGCGTATTCGTAAGTCCTGACTACATATAATAATATATTACCTACCCTTGTCGTTCCTATATTCGTATGTTTATTATACAAGGCGCCCGCGCCGTCGTTCTCGTTCGGTCACCCCAAATATATCTATATACCCTGATACCGCTCCCGTTCACCCTCGAGGCCAAGACGCACCCGATATAATACCTATACATATTCATATATATATATATGTTTGATTTTAAGGTCCATATGTGGTTCGGGGAAAATTTTTTCAAAAAAAAAAACGGTTTCTTTCTGACGACCTCCCCCAAAGCTTGTTATATTATACGCTCGCAGTCGCCTCGCACGCCGTTAAAATCTTTTAGATTATAACATAATGTAATGTATTACCTATACACCTATACTACATATGTACCTACATTGTACGTTGTCACACATCGTCCGCGTCCCATATATATATACTTGACACATATTGTATAATTCTATATATAATATGGCACGTATAATATGCCCGGCGAGTTCCGAGCGATGTGCATAAATATAATAATATATCGTCGGCCTTTTTTTGGATCTGGACAACGATATATGCGTATAATATGTGTGTTATTGTCACGGAGTGCACCCACAATACCTGTATATACCATTTATAAATTATTATGTACTTTTTTCTCTCGAAATTCCGCAGCGATTCCGTTCTGGTCGTAAAATATACGTATTTCGTGTATACAATTTATATTCTATATACCTATAGGCATACATACGCCCACGATCACAACGCTGCACTGCTATTATGCTGCAGCTATAAGTATGCAGGTACCTCTATTATATATATGTACAACATGCATCTTAACGTATTTTTCGTGACGACGCGTTTGAAAATAATCACAGTAATACGCATGCGTCTCGTATCACATAGCAGCGCAATGTTACTATAATAATGGGTGTTTCACTATAAGGCCTAACCCACGACGTATATAATACTAAGTACATATTAAATATAACATATTATATAGGTATGCGAAGAAAGGTATAGAAAGGTAATCGGATGCGAGTCCTGAAGTCGTTCGATTAAGCGCGCGTTGGGTAAAAAACTGTTCGTAAGGAACCGTAGGAGGTGAGGTATGTATTATAATATATACGTGATATGTCCGAGACCATATCGTATGTACAACAGTATATACATAACATATTAATATATATAAATGCATTCAATATGTTATGTATGTATGTATAACACTACTCCTGGAACGACGTCGTCACAAGTGCTGTTACTCGTTAAAAATGGAACCATATATTATTATTATTATTATTATTAATATTGCTATTACGATCGACCCACGCAAAGACGAGTTTTTTTATTGTACGTCGAGTTCGTCTACGATTATTACAGTGGAAAAAACACATCTCAACATAACATTATATTCATTATAATAATAGTTAGAAATTAATATTTAAAAGTGCTCTGCGCAGTGCTATAGCGGTAAGCATATTATATCATAACTATTTCAATCGAAGTAATGTAAATACAATTATACGTACAATGTGTATATAACATGTATTTCGTATCGTTTACTAAACGAAATTTTTTTTATTGTTGTTGTTGTTGTTATTGTTAGTACGAAATGATTATTATCGTCTTTGTATAATCGACAATCGTCATAATGTTACTCATTAGTCATTCATTACTCATTAGACTGCTGCCTCACGATGATTTTGTATGCTTATGATATCAAAAGTCGAACGGGCACAGGTCTATTACAATTTCAAGTATTCCCTACTCAATACTCATACAATATTACTTTGTTATGTAGTTAAAATAATTTAGGTCACCAAATGCGTAAATTACATACTACATATTATATATTATAGTTCTAATAGATATAGCCGTATCGAGTGCTATCAACTAGCAATCATTATTATTTTATACGTATCAGCAAGAAAAAACTATATTATAAATTATACTAAATTATCGGTTATTCGGTTATCACTGGTGTCTGGTTTTGTGCATATTTGTATATACTGCAGCTATTACTCTATTCATTTATAATTACTATAGACATCTATGATTGCGAAAGTGTTTTGTGGTGAATTTACACAGGGAAATTATACAGACTATAATACTTACTGTACAGACTGCAAATTGCAATACAGTACATACATCTGTACGTTTAATTGTAAACGAATAAAATAAATAAAACGAAGAGTTAACTAGGATGATATAGGTATGTCGAACTATTCAACTATACAATATGTCTGCAAACCTGCTATTTTACGTGATGAATTTAAGTTTTAAGTTACGATTTTGTCTGAAAATGAGGTAATAATATAGTTTATACTTAATTATTATTAAGGTTAGGTACCTTAGACATAAGGCTAAAAACTTATCACGGACACATTATATTAGTATTATAGTACCTATATGATCGTTGATTAAATATACAATGACTGTTATGATATGACGTGATCATGCGAGTACGCGGTTAATAATTTCGCGTCGACATGCCAATATATTATATTATATCTACTTTTAAACGATTACGTGCAGCCTAGTCGGCTTTCAGTAGCCTTTTTCAGAGGTATTTCAGCCCATAGTACTCCCGAAATTCCGATCTATAGACTAGAATATTAGATTTCCTAATTTTATAAACGATAGGTATACTGCATTAGGTAGTCTCGTTTATGTGCTAATGACGATATTCATGGCAATTTATTTTTTCGATTTCTGATTCAACGATATAATTCTATATTGTATGTAGTCGGCATGTTTTACTCTCTATGATTATGTATACTGTACTATAGTGCGACTTCAACACGCAATATTATCGTGATAAGTTAGGTGTACCGCGTGCATTTACGTATATCCACGATTCTGGCACCCCCAAATCCTAATACATATGGATTTCGAGCCCGGCTGCACACTCAGCCCCTATATGTATGGCCTCACCCTTTGAAACTGCGGCATGATGAATATACCGCGGTGGAAACGAGTATACCTACGCTCGGCCGCGACGTCGAAAAGGCCATGCTTAATATTATATTACTACAATACGGTACAGAGGCGTGCGGGTGATTGGCGAAAAATAAAAAACGTCACATGCCACATGGTGGGTCCCTAATTCCCTATGCATTGTACGATGCTACCATTAACGCGGTAACGGATTGGCGCGGTCGAGCAGCACGCGCGCTATTGCGAAACGCATAAAATTGTACAATAATTTATAGTAATAATAATAATAATAATAATAATGATAATAGCCGTGTAGGTACCTACACGTCCACGGTCCGTCGCAGCTAGGGGTTGTCGAACCGACGGCGGAAAAGCGCGAACGCCGCGAACCGAGTTGTGTAGTCTTTGTGCGCGATCCCCCGCCCCGCGTCGGCCCGCCGACGACCGCGACCGTGAGTCCGTGACGACACGACGACATACGGTCGGTCGTCCCCGCCGACTGCGACCGCGACGCTACCTGGTGGCTGCGGCCCGTAGCTTGGCCCGTCTGACCATACTCACGGCCGGTTCATACTGATGATCATAGGCCCGAGGCGCAGCAGCTACCACCACCACCTCAGCCGCCGCCGTAGCCACGTCGCCCGTTAAATTTTTTGAAAAAAAAAACCGAAGCGGACCGGCCCGAGCGTTGCCGTTGTAATATTATTGTTAATACCTCGCAATAACATAATAATATTATATCGTCCAACGGCGGCCGTCCGGTTCTGAGTTCTTTCGTCGTTTCGCCACCGAGTATAGTTTTTTTCACGTTTTTCTTTTTCTCGCAATCGTTTTTGCGGGCCCACCTGCACCACCCGTGAGAATCGTTAACGACGACGGCTGGACTCTCCGACGGTTGGTGTTGTCGCCCGACGAAACGATGTGTCGTTCGCCGGTCATCGGTTTGTGTGGAAGCAGCAGCAGCAGCAGCAGCAGCAGCAGCAGCAGCAGTTGACGTTGTAAACAGTGAGTATATTGTTACGGAAAACTGCGCTATACAGTTACCTAGTCCGTGCGAATCTCGAACCGGAAATGTAGTTCCGCTTGTCCCGTTTGCATCCGAATTGATTTGACCTTAAATATAAACATGAGCACACGTATGCCTAGGTTCACCTAATACCTAGGTGTCAAAGACACATGCTATAGGTCATTGGCACTCTTTCTTTTGCCTCCACCTAATGTTTTGCTTGACTTTTCTGTTTTGTTCTTCTACACGTCTGGTGTGCACTCGACTGCCAGTGTCAATAACTGTATCCATATACAATATAAAAAATGTTCCTACAACATATCTAAATTAATTCTCTGTTGATGGCTTGCTTAGATTTTTTTTGTTCGTTCATAATAATACACGATTATTCATAACTGGCTGATAAGCTTACATAGTCAATGGTGTGGCACTATGACCTAATCTTATTTATAAGAGCACCTTTCTGATTTACAAAATATCTTTGACACAGCTGCAGCTGTGTAACTACTAGGTAGATTTTAGCTAGGTACTTACCATAAGTAAACTAAATTTAAAATCAATTTTGTTTGTTTCTCGGTTTATATTACAGTTGTATGTGTTTAGTTGTAGAAATTGAAGGTATTATGAATTAAAATCCCATTTAACAATATGTAGGCAGTAGCCATTAGCCAAATTATATTAATTTACTTAATCTATTAAGTATCTAGTAATTACCAAAGTAATTACATATTATAATGTATTTGTGTTTCTACTTAATCATTATGAAATCATTAAATTTCTTGTTTTATTTTACAGTTTATACTACCTACTCATATACATTATTGTCAGTAAATAACAAGTGTTAAAATGAGTTCATTCAATGATAGAGCACCAATCCAAGAAGTCCCATCACCAATAACACATTTAGCTAATTGTCTAGGAACATCACTAACAGTCAGACGCAAACTAACATTATCTGAACCTAGTGAAACTCCAAAAAAATGTTATGATAACATACTCCACGGTAAATTTAAATGTTCTATTAAAAACCATTAAATAATGTGATTTTTTAATTCAAATTGATCAATACCATAATATCTATTTCTAACCATTTGATTCTTTTTTTACCTAATTATATACATGGTTAATATCTATTTTGTAATTACCATTGTATACACTACAACCATCATATTTTGTTAAGGTTTCAAAATGTTTCAACATATCCATATCTACTTAGTAAAATCAACATTTTATTTTAAATTTAAATTCCATATTTAATATTACATACATTAATAATAATTTCTATTCGCCCATGTCTCTTTCTCTCTATTTTTCGTTTTGGATAAATATCCCTCTTGAATGCTTTTATATACAAATATGTTGTTGTCATTTATTACTATATTTTAATAAATTTATTTTTTTTGATTACCTATTAAGATATATAGGGATATATTGATTTTTGAATGATATGTGTTTAAATAATTTTATTGTTGCATATTTTGTTTAATTAAAATGATTTCCTATTTTCAATTTTATAAACAAAACAATAGATCATGATTTCAACAGCTCATCGAATACCAGGTAAATAATATTTTTATAGATTTTTGTTCTATTTTAAATATTTATGTGACTTATATACCTATTTAATTAACTTTATATTATACTATTAAAGATTATTTAAAGGAAGTTCAAAAAATATTAATGAAAGTCCAACATTCAAATGTTGTTTGATGCTTCAAAAAATGATAAACAGTCCAGTTGAGAAAGAAAACACAACTAAATGTATGGATACGATGGTCTCTAAATCAATTTTATCACCATCCCAATCAAGTCCAACTGTAATTTTATTTTTTAATAATTATTTAAACTTTTATTCTAATAAGTTATTTGTAGTACCTAACTAGTAATTTATTATTACCAATTAAATTTGTTTGAAATACTTAATTGAAATAATATTTTTAATATATTCTTATTGTATTAGTAAATAATAGTTATGTTGTATTACCTACTTTGTAGTTCTTGATGCACGGTCGTAATACAAGAGGTCGTCACCCATTAGAAGATCATGATCCTAATTCCCAAGACAGTGGGTTTTTTTCAGTGCTCTCTGAAGATTCTAGATCATTAAACAGGTAATTATCTATAATCAGTAATTTAACTTTTATTTTCAACTGAATAATATATTTTACTGTGTTTGAAGATTTGAACCCAAAATTGTGATTGAAAAGAAAAATTCATCATTAAATGTTCCTCGATCAGATTTAGTTGTTTGTCACAAAGGAATCCCAGAAATAGATGATCCATTTTTAGACAATGTTAATTCTCCAGCAAGATTGGTAAATAATAAATAAGAATACATTATATTTTAGTACTATAATTAAATTATTATTCATGGTTGAAGTCTCAAGATTCACTTCCTTGTGAATTTAATACTTTGATCGATGGAGATATTCGTGCCTTTCAATCACCAATAATTAAACCTATTGTCAAACGGAGAAATTCTAAATATGATTCAGAGACACCTCGAAAAGTTGTAAGTAATTATTTTATTTATGCATATAATTTTTTTTTCAATTTATCATTGTATTTTCTTCCAAATAGGATTTTGTTCTTGGAGAAATTAAAAACACTGATGTTGTTGTGAAAAAACGTAAATTATTTAATGAATTTGAGTGTCCTTCTGAGAAATCAATTGTATCCAAACGGTTAAAGCCCAATGTAGATCTTTCAATGTCATTTAATTCTCCAAGATTAGACACTGGAAATACTTCTTTAACTGCTCCTGTATCACACAAGAAAACAACACTCTTTGACTATGGATTTTGCAAAAATAGTGTTTCTAAGCTTCGAAGGTCATTTTCAACTAATGAAGCCACAATAAAAGCTGCATTTGAGAAAGGTAAGTAATCCACTAGTACATTGAAAACTAATCAATATTGTTGGATTGAAATTATAACAAAGTAAATACATTAATTGAAAAGTTTAAATTATAAGAATTTTGTGAAATTTATTTAGGATGATATAATCCACCACACTCATTTTCTTTAGTCAATTATATAGTTAAAAAATATTTTTGTCCGATTTTTATTCTTGTTTGTACTCTAATGCAGAATATATTTTATAAAAATGTGATATAAATATTAATACTCAAATTTTAACATAATAAGTATTATCAAAAATAGTGTTAATAGTAGTTTTTACTTTCCAGTTTTTGACTTATATTTCAAAAATATTGTACGTAACATTAAATAATGAAAAACCATCAAATAGACGTAAGAAGTGCTACAATATAGCACACTTAAGAATTATTAAGGGGCCTGCTCGTGGGTCTTTATTAATGGGGCAATGTTTAGGCAATAAGCAATTTAGTCGCTGCCGCCCATGGCATTAGTGTTAGTCGTCAATGATAATTAGTGTGAGTGTGATTGTATGCGGGTACCGAGCCATCTACGCACTGCACGCATGTCGACGGCACTGCCGACCAAAGGTTAGGCAAAAGCGTGACTGCACAAAACACTCTTTACAGGAAAAATTTTCATGCATCGTAGAGTGGTAGATTTGATTAGTTTTTTTTGTTAGAAGATAACTTTCTACGGAGTGCATTGAACTTCTATTTTCAAATATTTAGCTTAAATCAAACATTATAAAAATAACAAAAGTTTGTGGAAATTGGTAGTATTCAAAATCCTATCACATTGTTTAGAAATGTGATTTCAAAAATCCAAGTCCAATGCACCCTGTAAGAAGTATTTCTCTTTCAAAAAAAAAAAAAAAAATATATTGAAATCAGATAGTTCTACAAGGCTGGAGAGTTTTTCTTTTGAGGCATGTTTTTAAGCAAAAAAGGAGGCCCCTTAATATTAAACATGTAATACTTTGTTTAGTTTATTTTTTCATGGATAAATGTTAGATAGGCCGTATGTGTGAGAGTAAAAAAGTGATAATATGTGTAATTTGGTTTATATAATTGGTATTATTTGATTTGTATTTATTTAATTAATAGTTTTTATTTAGTCACATTTAATTAAAGTTTATATAAGATGAATAATTACCGCCAATTTGAGGTAAACCCACAGCTTTCAGTTAACCTATATTTTAAATGCTTATAATTAAGAGGATGCGAGAGTTTGTTTTCTCTCTCTGACCCAAGTATTAATTATCATAAATAATTTGTTTGGTTTCTAGTGTTTAAACCACATAATATTCTTTTAGTGTTAAAATGTCTAAATATTATTTTTTTTTCTCAGAGGATAATGCATCAAATTTAATTGGTGACTTCAGTCAATCATTTATATTGCCTTTGTTATCACTTGGTCGTCATGCAGATCTACGTAGCATATCTCCTGATACATTAGCTCATTTATTGGAGGGCTCGTTCAATGACTGTATCGACTCCTATCTAATAATAGATTGCAGGTAATTCAAATAATTTGAAGTAAAGTTGTGTTTTTATTTATTAATTGATTTTATTTGTAGATATCCTTACGAGTATGAAGGTGGTCATATAAGAGGCGCAATCAACATATTTACTAAAGAGCAACTCTTTAAAGATTATACTGATGACAAGTTGGGTAAAAAATCTCACAAAACTGATAAAATTAATGCGAAGAGAAATGTTTTGATATTTCACTGTGAATTTTCATCAGAAAGAGGCCCAAGTTTGTGAGTATTATTTTATGTATTTAATATTTTTATTGTTTATTAATTATTATGATAGACTCTAAATTATTTTATATACCTGTGCTCTGTCCAGTAAGATAATGAGCAGATTCTGTGCAACTTTCTCATCACCCTACTATCAAATCCAGTTCCCCTATGTCTAGGGTGTCGCATGGGTATGCACAGAATCGGTTTGTTCTCACTGGACAGAGCATAGGTATAAAAATAATTTTAAGTCTATTATTTTGGTTGGCCCAAATAGTGTTCTCTCGCCGAAGAAAGTATAAGTAAAGTCAGTTTTTTTTGAGTATATCAACTTAACAAGGGATAAGAAATGCTAACACATACCTATTTCAACTTAGAGTGACAACAAGAGATATTCTTAAAATATTAGATGGAATATATTAAGCTCTTTAAGGACATAGAGTCCTGACTTTAGTAATAATGATTTATTAACAGTAAAGTTATTTTGTTTAACTATTTATAACTTTTCAAAAATCTCTAAAATAATTAGCTACTAAAAAGTTATATACTTAACCAATGCAACAATAGTTTAAATAATGAAATATACACCAATATATGGTTATATTAATCCTAAAAATCTTAAATTTAATCCACTGTTCTCTTATAATACAATTATTAAGGTGATTTTAATTAATAATTATATACTTTCTTTTTAAGTACTAATTAAATATGGTGGAGCTATTTCACATTTTTTTTAAGTATACCAAATAAATTAATAACTTGTTTTGTTTACTGTGTAGGTCACGGTATTTACGTAATGCTGATAGGCAAAAGAACAGTATGTGCTATCCTTACTTGGACTATCCAGAAATGTATTTGCTTGATGGTGGATACTGTAAATTTTACAGTCAACACAGTAATTTGTGTGTGCCGTCTAGCTATCGGTCAATGTATGATCCTGCCCATACATCAGAATTAAGAAAGTTCAGGTCCAAAGCAAAAACATGGGCTTGTCACAATGATGCAGCGCCACGATTAGCTGGAAAAAACACGCTCAAACGATTGGGTTTTAATTAATCTCTTTTACGTATTCTTTCATGTAAATAAGTGTTGAGATTTTTTTTTTATTGATTTGTATTTGATTACTTTTTTTTTGCGTTTTATTTTTATTCTTTTTAACCATTTAACCAATTTTTTTTCTATTTTAAAACTTGATGTGTTAAAGTCTTAAATTAGATCCCAGTGCAATTTTGTAAAACTTTTGTGATGCTATATTATAGTAAGTGCACTGTTAGCTAAGTTTCCAAAAAAGAACATATAATATTTATCATTTAATCATCAGCTTTTGTGGTTTTAATTATTTGATATAGATCGTTAATATAAAATCAAATACATATAGTTTATTATGTACGTGTGTTTGTGTGATTTTAATATATTTGCTAAGTGCAATGTGATTTTTTATAAAATATTAAACTAAAAAAAAACAATGTTAGTCGGTGTGAAAACATTAAAAAAAAAAGACTTGTAGAATTAATTTTATTTTTTAAAATGCATTATTAAATTAAGTAAGAAATAAGTGAATGAAAATCTATTGAATGTGTTCATTATTATTATTATTATTCATATCGCTTTGCCCATATTCTACATTTTTATGTGTAGTTAGTAAAATGTGTATATATTTGTAGTAAATCTAAGTATTTTTAAAAAATGTATTTTTTTTTCTTCATATTTTGTCTGGAATATTAATAGTTTAGAGATCATACGTACATTATATTATATTTTAATATATTTATCTATGTCATCGGCTGTTAATTACAATATTATATTATTATAATAACTTTTAAACCACCTCTATCATCTTTTTCAAGAAACCATTAAACAATAAAAAAAGTTAAAAGTAGCTTTTAATATATTTTTTATAAATTTAATAGTTTCTATTTTATAACAATTAGCAATAGATTTATGAATTTGTTTATTATTTTTTTAGTCTTCTATATATTGAGGTTGAGGGATACAAATTGTTTTAATATTTTTAACCAATTTGTTTCCTTCTTTAGATAAGTCAATTTTTTTAATAATATTTACTATAAAACATTACTTACGCTAGGAGTCTATTAAAAGAAAAAATTATACGCGTGTAGGCAATTTTGAATTTTTAGATAATTATTTATTTTTATTGTATTAACTTGGTAATGTTATTACTCAAAATACAGAAATTTAGTTTGAAACTAATTCTTTTTTTCATTTGCCGATGTTTTACATCACTTTTGTACTTCTAAAAAAGCACCGAATTTGCACGGGTCTGCCAAGTAATTAGCGTGTTCTAAAAGAATATTGTCCCTTGTATGACAACTAGATAACCAATTAAGTGTAAATGCCAACACAAATATTCAGTGAAAATTTCATGTCATTTTTTTAGAGTTACACTATAACCCAAAATTGATTTTTTCGAAAACTCAGGGCCTGATTAACCAATAGACTAGTATAGGCTACAGCCTAGGGCGCCAATCGGTCAATGTTAAATTGGGGGCGCCACAAAATTTTTGTTATTATTGCAATATTGTTAAAATTCTAAGTTGGTACTTTCCATCCAATATAACTATATAAGACACGACAAATATACAATGAGCATACTATTATGGCTAAATTCTGCTGCACTAAGTCATATACTTTAGAGTGGTGAATATTTTCACATTTCCGATATAATTTTTGAGGTAGCACATCCTATATATTCTTTATGTTTAATAATTTAAAAAAATAAAATTAGGTACCTAAAATGGTTATATTTTAAATTGATTAGTTCAGTTTTGCAGTATGCTGTACGGTCGATAGGTAAACGTACATGATAACATATTCAAAATAAACAAATTTATCTCCAAAACTACTATGCCCCGGACCTACGGACACGCCTGGGGTCTATATTGTTCATTTATTCTATACATACTAACATACGATAGACTCGGGACGAGATCGAATATTTTCGTCGGTTTTCCAATTCGCAAATTGGCGCGCGAAACGTGACCGGCGTACACCACGATAACCGTTTCGTGACACGCGCCGTGGGTACACTAGCTACCAGGGGACCATGAAGTGCCTAGTCCTATGTGCCTAATTTGCATGCACTTCCAAGGGAGTAATAATTTAAAAATTTCCAAGTCCGCGTTTACGAAGGTTCACTAACTATTTCAACGCCAACACAGCCACAGCCACATCCACTTGCCACAGCCTATATAGGGTCGGCTCCAGATCCATTGTAGGGGGGGGGAGTCATATTTCTCGATATTATAATATGTTTTTTAGTAATTTTGTTATTAACAATATACGATGTTTTGAAGGTACGAGCTTGGGGGGGGGGGCGGCCCGTAGTCCCACTTGCAGGCACGGATCCAGAGCAAAGATTTGGTGGGGGGAGGGGGCACAATTTTTTTGTTAATGTAAAACTATAATATTGGAATTACTATCCACCATGAACTAAGATAGTACTATCCTTAGTTTGTGCCCCCCAAAATGATACGTATAATAATATATTATATTATCTGACATACATGTAATTTGAAATATAGTAATATCAGGATCTGTAGAATTATTAAACACATTTTGGAAATAATATGTCTGGGATTGGAGGCCCTGCCCCCCCCCCCTCTTAGCACTATAAACTATACAGTTATACATAATAATCATCATGTCGGCGACAGACGATACACGAGGACGTAAACCTGCTGCAGTCGTCTCTTAAACTAGTCCAACTTATCGATAAGTATATACCTGCCTGACTGCCTAGTATTTAGCCGATTTTTTATTAATGTCTAGATTTGTCTTACTTGTTTTTCAGCATAACAGTTCTTAGGGTTGGAGCTTACTGCTTAGGACATAGCCACATAGGCGCGTGTAGGATTTTGTTTATATAATTTGATTATATAATGTGACAAACATTTTTAACCGGCCCAACAGTTTCCGAATTTCCCAATTGCCCACTTATATTTCGCTGGTGGGCTGTGGGCATAAACAAAGGCAGAGGATTTGAGAAGAAAAAATTATTGGAACAGATTCAGCTTAGCAGCCATTCGAAATTTGGATTTTTTTCAAATTAGGTAACATGTATCTAATTCAACGTTTTAAAAGTGGAGGGACCAAAAGTTTTTCTCGGAAATGATTAGTTTTTTATTATAAGTAATGCAGAAAAAAGTATATGATAATATCGTATTTCCATCAGGGGCGCACCCAGAATTTTTTTTTTTGGGGGGGGGGCTAAATTCAAAAAATTGTAATATTAATAGGCAGTATTTATTTTGAAATATGTACAGAAATCTTAAAGCTTGTTTACAACCTTATAAAGTTGAGACGCCTTAGTCATTTTTTCCCCATTATTGAGAGTAATTCTGAAGTTTGAACATCGATTTCTCTGTGAATATGAAGCATAGCGGTTTGAGATAAATTAAATTGTATCGATAAAAATGTATAATCTAGACGTTTCCGGTATGGCGGTATCCTACACAGTACACAGTTTCAACTAACGACGTCGCGACGATAATAATAAACAACAGAGGTCTCTCTCGTGGCCCGGAATGACAGGTATAAATATAATATAATATTATGACATTATGTTATACCTATTGTTTAAATTTCGATAGTTGATACTTTTTTTTATAATTATTTAAAGTCAAATATCAATTGTCAATAAACCTAATAAAATGTTTTGGGGCTAGCCATTTGGGGGGGGGGGGCTAAAGCCCGTTAGCCACCCCCTTGGGTGTGCCTTTGATTTTCATGAACATTTTATTTTTACCTAGTGTAAAATGTTGGGTTTTTTATACGCACATATGTATCAGGTGGGGTCACTCATTTGCTTCACTCGCTCGGACAACTAAAATCGAAAACACCCTTTGATTTGTTATGCAAAAATGTTGGGGGGAGTTACATATGTGCTTATGCTTTTTTTTATAGGGGGGAGCGTTTAACGGAAATTCATAATGAAAATTCAATTTTTTTATCAATCAGTTACTGAAATACGTTCTTATTGGGAATGACGATTGCCACTTCCACCCCCCTTAAATAGTTAAATTACGTGCCTGTAGGTACTACGTTCAAAATATAAAACTCATTGTTCTCATTATTTAAAAATACAAATTAAATAGTGAACAAGAAGAAAAGTAACCACTCTGCTGTATAGTGTATATAGGAGTCAGCGTACCATGTCATTGCAGAAAAGGAACATTTCAATGGGTGAGTTAAATTTTGAATTCAATGGTAAAACATAAGATCATATGGAAAAAGATTTTCAACGGGGAATCAGTCTGTCACTTGTCAGCCTAAAATTCAAAAGCCTATAAAAAAAAAAAATGCGTGTGTCAGTGAACACGGCAGAAGTGAAAAATTATATTATGAATATTTAACTTTGATAGGAATTAAAATATTTTATTAAAAGGTATTGGGTACACAATTTTAACATTTTTAATCATTGGTTCGACATGTTAACTCAACATATTTTATTTTCAAAAATCGTTTAGTGTTGGAGCAAGGAATATGTAAACAAAACTAGAGGGGCGCACAGTGCTTCCCGCAGGTAGTGGGGCTCCAGTTGTAGGCAGTTGGCAGTAGTGGGGACGTTTAAGAATTTCAGTACTAAACTATAATCTTTTTTCTATGACTATACTTGTGTTATAAGTTATAAATGTTATTAGTAAAGTTTATGAATTAAAACAAAATAAAGTCGAGATCTGACAAAGTGTCAAATACTGATTAGTGATTTTGAGTGAAAATTCAAGTGTTTTACAATTATTGAGAAAAGTATGAAGAATTTTTTATTTTTGACTTTCCAAAGTACCAACTATAGATTTTCTACCAGAAATTATAATATTGATGAAGATTGAAACATTTTTACTGCTCCAGAACTTTAGAATGTAAGTTCTGATTTTAATATCTTATAACTTTTTCACATTTAAAATGTCATGCGGAATACATATTTACATCTCCCCTAACTGTTAATATATACCATGGACCATGGTTATTTAGATTCTAAAGTAGGTAGGTATACAACTGTGGTATTGACTATTTAGTAGGTATTTTTGTGACATTAG